GTGTCTTGGTGTGTTTTCAGTTCTGGTGGTGCTTTTACCTGGAGGAAATAGATGTGATCATCAGTATGTGAAAGCTGCTCCACCTCGGACTGCTTTCTCTTCAACTTTGAGATCTCTTGTTCCAGATCTTGTGAATGTCCCTGAATCCGGTTCAACTCCGTGGTCATCTGACTTTGGACCAGCGTAATTATCTCTGTGTGGCTTCTCCGTATAAAGCTGAGCAGTTCGGTGAAGATCCGGTCACCTTCTTCCTCTGTGGCTTGAGTCAGGTTCTGTTAGTGGAAACATTTCTCTTTCTTATTTTGGGTGATGTGTGTTCATTTTCTGCACCACTAATGGCACCAAATGGAACGATGGTTTCCAAACTGCCCCTCTCCCATCTCCTATTGTTCATGATTCAACTTGACTTTGGGAAGTCAACCAATGTTTATCCCTATTCGTTTGGGATAGGAGAAAGTGTTCAGAAAATTATTTCAGGCACAAACTTACCCTGATGCAACATGATGCCTTTTGGGTTTCCTTCAGCTCAGTGTCTCGATCCGTAACCATCTGCTTGGACTTTTCCAGCTGCCTCTGGGAATCAGTGGACAATGTCATTTAAGACATCAGTCTTTTACATTTAGCATCACTGTTGTGACTGAGAACTACTTCAGTATAACAAGGACACCATCTGCATTTTAAGGTGTCATAACCTGTTATGCTGGTGATTGTTCTGGCAACTTGAAATAGGTATGTCTTATTCTCATTGACTCCTAATTAGTGTGTCTTTTTTCAGAGGAGCTTACAAAGTCTTTTTTTCGAGCAACATCCAGCATAGTTGTAGAACCAAGTCTATAAAGACAATCCTGCTTATGAACCAGACTGCAACTAGCTATTCCCAAACAAATTAACCCAACCAGTTTATCGACAGACTTTCAAGCATACGGTCAAAAAACTCTGTAAACTCTTCTGAACAAAGACTTAATGATTAAAAACAAAGTCTTTTTTGAGCAACATCTGCTTTATAGTAGTGGAACCAAGTCCACAACATCAATCTCTCACCAAATTCCTGATTATGAACCAAACTGCAACTGGCTGTTCTCCAAACATATTCACCCAACCAGTTAATCGACTAACTTTCAAACGTGTATTGCCAAAAATAACAATTGTCTCTCTTAGGCTGATGATACATGGGTCAACATTTTGAGCAATTTTGTTGGGCAACTTTTTTTGAGCATTGTTGCTTGGGCACTTTCACATTGAGAATGGATAACAAATGTTTTATCTGGATACTTTAGATCGGTCGTGGGCCCTGAGTCTCATCTGGTTGCCCGTTGGTGGCAACATTGCTCAAAAAGTTGCCCCGTGTATCATCAGCCTTATTGTCATCGTCTTTCCTTGATTTGAATCATTGTGTCTTTGTTCTGAAGAGTTTACAAAGTCTTATTTGAGCAACATCTACTCTGTAGTTGTGGAACCAAGTCCACACCAACAGTCCCTCATCAAAATCCCATTTGCTAACCAAACTGCAACTGGCTATTCTCAAACATATTCACCCAACCAGTTAAAAATGGCTTGTTTATGCATTGCATATTAAAAACTTGTACTACTTTGGACTCAAACCGACCCTACCCCACCTTTACCTGTTTCTCTGCTCGTTCTGTAGCAGCCGAGACCATGTCATGTCCTCTGTGGTTGGTGTCCAGCATGCAGAGGCAGCAGATACACTGGCGCTCAGTGCGGCAGTAAACCTCCAGGAGCTTATGATGTTGGGGACACGTCTTTTTTTGGAGTTCTCCAGTGACGTCCACCAGTAAGTGTGCTTTCCCCACATTCAGTTCATTGTGCAACCTGAGGTGAGTTTCACAGTAAGACGCCAAACACACCAGACATGTTTTGATGGCTTTCTCTTTTCTATCACTGCAAGAGTCACACTCCACGTCCTCAGCTTGCTCTGTCTGAAGGCCTGTCCTCTCCAGTGCCTCTGCAACACAAGCAACAGATCTGTCTGGATCTGATGCAGAAGCATTGGAATCATCCAGATCTGCAGCTGGAGCCTCATATTCTTCTGGATCTGCAGCTGGAGCCTCATATTCTTCTGGATCTGTCTCACATGAGGAATTCTGTTTACACCGAGGGCAGCTGTTTTCCTGCAGGTCCTGGAGGCAAACCGAGCACACGCGTGAGTCCTGTTCATCTGCCATTTGCATGGAGAGCAAGGAGCTCGGTGTTAAAGGGATTCTACAAACAGTTTAGTTTCGTTTCTTTCTTTTTCTCGTGCGTGTTTGTGGGCGGGACTCTCTTATGTGTGTGTGTGTGTGTGGCCACAGATAAAGAGACAGAACAGAAGCTTGCTCTAATGTGAAACCTAAACCCAGAGAGACACACAGTTGCTTGCCAGGGCGCTGTCTCTTGCGTGTTTAGCAAAATAATATCAGATTAACCAGCTTATTAAAATTAATTTGTATATAAGTAGGAGTACAAAGGAGAGACTTTGTACCATCCATGTGGTTTCAAGTCTCTTTTCCTTTTATAAAAGCCATTGCTTTGTAATTGCATAGAGAAGAAAAGTGAGATGGACATTGTACATCTTAAACGGTTGTTTTTCCACAGGTTTTATTGTCCCCCCCCCTCTGTATTCACCTCCAGTGAGTGTGTTATATATGTGAGCCCAGGTGCTGTGCATTTGTCAAACAGAAGCTTGTGTAACTTGTCAAGACAGACAATAAAACAGCAGGAAGCGCTGTAATACGGGCTGTTTCATAATTTAATACTTTTTGTTTCATAAGTTTTGCATATGTTCTGTTTAAGAAATGGCATGGTTTATTCTTTGGTTCATGTAATTTCTCTGATCAACATCACTGGAATTATTTTAATGTTTTAAGATCAGTTTTAATATAAAGGGGGGAGGGTAGGCTAGTTGACAAAAGAACAACTTTTTTGTCCAACATAAAGATTTTCCCAACATCAGAATTGCCTGTCTAAGACTTTGTTGCGAAAACTTGGGAAAATATTCTTATGAAACATGTATTTGTATTTGTCATCTTTTATGAATAAATCCAAATGATGACTCAGTTATTTTAATGGCATTTGAAGACTATATAGGCTAATCGATAATAGAAATTCACCGTATTCATCATGAAATTCTTGTTGAATTTTTTTACAGATATTTTAAAATCTTTATCATGAAGGGACATCATATCAGCTCCCTAAAATCTAGTGGTACAGTGATGGCAATTCCATGATACTTTGATGTTAACATGTATAAACGCTGAAGTGCAAAGGCTTTCCAGTGACTCTGGTTATTGTAACACGTGAGACGCACCTCATTCCTCATTCACACACACACACACACACACACACACTCACTCACTCACTCACTCACTCACGCGCACACACACACACACACACTTGTATAACACCCACAGACACGCACACACTGCAGATCGCCTCTGCTTTAGGTGAGTGTAAATACAGCTTCTCTCAATCAGGCGTGCACCACATGAAAAAAATACTGTAGTGTTTCTGAACCATACTATAGTAAAATACTTGAATTCATTTGCTGTAGTAATTCTATAGTTGCTGTGATAATATAACAACTATAGTAATACAAGTAAATTACTTTACCCTGTACTAAGTTTTCTACAACTACAGGGTATATTATACTACAACACACTACAGTTTACTGTAGCAAAAACTAAAGTATGATACAGTATTTATTACAGTTTATCAGTTCACTACAGTATGCTGTAGCATGCATAATCAAAGTGTCGTAAATACTATCATATATACAGTATAATACACTCTACTATAGTATGGCTCAAAAACACTATAGTATTTACTATAAATTACAATCTCGTCGATTAATCGCGATTTACCCAATTTTCTGATCAAAGCAAGATCGATAGTCTTGTTCAATATTATATTTAGTTATTTTTCGCTGCAAAATATTGAAAGCCGTAGGGTTTTTCTAGCGATTCTGCACATTAATGAAAAAATACCATAGTGATTTATAGTATAGTATAGTGTTTTTGAACCATACGATAGTAGAGTATATTAAACTGTAATAAATACTGTATCATACTTTAGTTTTTGCTACTGTAAACTGTAGTGTGTTGTAGTATAGTTGTAGAAAACTGAGTACAGTATTGAGTAAAGTCATTTGTTTATATTGCTATAGTTGTTATATTCCCTGTTGAAAAAAACCAGCATATGCTGATTAGGTATGTTTTGACGCTGGGATGCTGGTTTAAGCTGGTCCTTTGCCAGCACATGACCAGCTTAAACCAGCACATGACCAGCTTAAACCAGCACATGACCAGCTTAAACCAGCACATGACCAGCTTAAACCAGCACATGACCAGCTTAAACCAGCACATGACCAGCTTAAACCAGCACATGACCAGCTTAAACCAGCACATGACCAGCTTAAACCAGCACATGACCAGCTTAAACCAGCACATGACCAGCTTAAACCAGCACATGACCAGCTTAAACCAGCACATGACCAGCTTAAACCAGCACATGACCAGCTTAAACCAGCACATGACCAGCTTAAACCAGCACATGACCAGCTTAAACCAGCACATGACCAGCTTAAACCAGCACATGACCAGCTTAAACCAGCACATGACCAGCTTAAACCAGCACATGACCAGCTTAAACCAGCACATGACCAGCTTAAACCAGCACATGACCAGCTTAAACCAGCACATGACCAGCTTAAACCAGCACATGACCAGCTTAAACCAGCACATGACCAGCTTAAACCAGCACATGACCAGCTTAAACCAGCACATGACCAGCTTAAACCAGCACATGACCAGCTTAAACCAGCACATGACCAGCTTAAACCAGCACATGACCAGCTTAAACCAGCACATGACCAGCTTAAACCAGCACATGACCAGCTTAAACCAGCACATGACCAGCTTAAACCAGCACATGACCAGCTTAAACCAGCACATGACCAGCTTAAACCAGCACATGACCAGCTTAAACCAGCACATGACCAGCTTAAACCAGCACATGACCAGCTTAAACCAGCACATGACCAGCTTAAACCAGCACATGACCAGCTTAAACCAGCACATGACCAGCTTAAACCAGCACATGACCAGCTTAAACCAGCACATGACCAGCTTAAACCAGCACATGACCAGCTTAAACCAGCACATGACCAGCTTAAACCAGCACATGACCAGCTTAAACCAGCACATGACCAGCTTAAACCAGCACATGACCAGCTTAAACCAGCACATGACCAGCTTAAACCAGCACATGACCAGCTTAAACCAGCACATGACCAGCTTAAACCAGCACATGACCAGCTTAAACCAGCACATGACCAGCTTAAACCAGCACATGACCAGCTTAAACCAGCACATGACCAGCTTAAACCAGCAAAGGACCAGCTTAAACCAGCATCCCAGCGTCAAAACATACCTAACCAGCATATGCTGTTTTTTTCAACAGTTACCATAGCAACAAATAACAAATTAATTCAAGTACTTTACTATAGTATTTTTTCAACAAAGTTTTTACTTGTTTAGAAGCGGTTCGTGTTTGATACTTCATCATAATCAGAAAAACTTGATTGAGTTGATCAGGTGCATTGAGATTCTGCAGTCAGACTGAAACTTGGTTTATTAAGTCAAAACTTCCAGATGAACCTGACTTTGTGTGTCCTGCTGTAATGATTGAGTGAGTTCATGTCATGTTCCTCAGGGTTGTGATGGCAGACACGGCTGTTCAGCTGACCGGAGTCAGAGATGAGTCCAGGACACCGGTGTCCACCAGAATGTCCTTCTCATCGCCCAGACGAGGAGCGACCGTGAGCTTCCACAGCATCAACTACAGCGTGAAGATGAAGAGCGGCTTCCTGTGCAAGAGGAAGCTGACGCAGAAGAACATCCTCGTCGAGCTCAAGTGAGTCTAGTGCTGTCAAATCTGATGCTGTTTGATCACAATACTCATGCTTCGGGGTTTTAAATAGTCAGGCATTTGTGTACCATGATTTTTTTTTAAAGCACCTTAGTATAAAAGTACTGTGGTGTTACTGTGGTACAGGTGTTTGTAGGTATTTTTTTAATGTATTTTTCAGGGTTATTATAGTTGACAAAAACAAAAACTTTTCATTACTTAAAATAAAATGAAATGAAAATAAAAAAACAAAATATAAAAAGAAGAGAAACATTATTTCAGCTAGTTTCTAATTTTCATTTAGTTTAACTTGATGTACTAAAATACCTCAAACTAAAATAAAATTAATAGACACATTAAAAAAAAGATTAAAATGACTAAAACTTTAACTAAAATTAAAATGCACAGAAAATCTAAAAGTAAAAACGATATTAAAAAATGAATAAAAACTAAGTTTTAATAAAGTGTAATTTGTTTTTGTATATTATTAAATATTACAAATATGAATAAAAATTTTATACCATATTAAAAAAAAAGACAAAAGCACAAAAAAATTCCTAAAACGTAAACTAAAATTAATATTAACAGGGTAAAAAACTGAGAATATAAAAAAAACCTAAATATTATATAGTACTAATATAAATGTTAATAAAAACTCTAATATCTGTAGTATCTCAATGATACTAAAACAACTTGTTTTTGCACGTTTTTGTTTTGTATGTATTTGTTTTCTTACGTTTTTATAGTAATACTCATGCTTTTTTCTATAAAGGACTTTTGCGGGTTTATCTGACTTCCTCTGTTTCCTGCATTTAGCTGTTTGACTGTAATTATTAATGTAGCTGTCATAGAATCGGGTTTATTATGAATTTGATTTCACATGCTCCTTTAAAAGATGTAGTTTATAAAACGGAGAGTTCCGGTCCTTGATTCTGATTGGCTGAGCCACGTTCGAAGCTGTTGTAAATTACTACAAAGTAACAGCTAAGGAGGTTTTAGCCTAACAACGCCCCTCAGCTGTTATAAATTCACTGTAAACCACGGCTTCACGGGCTTATTGCTTGATTATTTTTGTGTTCGTCCGCTGACCAGCAGGACTGCATCAGATCTCATGTTCAGACTTGTTTTCTGCCTCGACTTTCATCTTCTCTACCTGCTTAAAACATGGAGTCGAGAGGAACAGTCACATATTTAGCCTTTGCATGAAGCTCATGTTTATTATTTGCTGTAAAATAAGAAACAGAGGTGATATTTGTGAGGTTGTAGGTCTGGGAGCATTAATGTGGACGTGATGCGGGGTAATGTGTGTGCTTGTGTGATTGTGGAAACCAGCAGGGAGGACTTCTCTGAATTGAAGGAAGGAAGAATGGAGATGTTTCAGTGAACTCTTGTGACCTGCCTCCAAAATATGTTTGTACGTGCTTCAGCGTTACATGCATGCTAATGCATTATTATACAAGCGCACACACACACCCTCAGCAATGAGCACGCACACACATGTGCATGTTTACACTTTCATAACCTGATTACATTACATATTCATTAAAAGTCTCTGCAGAACACATGCACACATGCCTAAATCAGACATTTGAGGGTTTTAAACCGTATCAGTGCATCCCTAGTTTTTATTAATATTTTGAATTCGGTTTTAATTTTTTAGTTTTCATTTTAATTTTAGTTAAAGTTTTCGTGATTTTGTTGTGTTTTTGTCAACTATGTAAATATGTCTACCTAGTTTTTATTCATTTTTATTTCAGTTTTCGCTGTTTTAGTACGTGAAGTTAAACTAAATGAAAATGTTGCCTTTGCATCTAGCTGAAAAAAAAA